GTATAATTAAAAATAATTGCTTTGTTCATTCATTTTCACCTATTGGACAATGCTGCGCTCGTTAAGCGGTATGCGATGATAGAAGCCAAATTAAGACAGCTGATGGGACATGCATGTTCGCTCCCTGCTTCCGCATCTTATAACGGCAAAAAGGCGGATGTACATACAGCCTCCCTTCTGGAAATTTATTTTTCTTATTTTACTCCTTTTCCTTATAATTTTCCTTTTCTCCTCTTTTTCCCTTTCTCTTTCGCTCTTCCTTCTCTTTCGCTCCCTTTCCTCTTTCTTTCCTTCTTTTTTTTAGGGGGCGCCTGATCCCCAGGGGGGGGGGCAACCAGCCCTTTGCCCCCCCCCCAAATCCGCCCCTGGTACAGTGATGGCATGGTCCATTTTTGGTCCCCAATGCCCATGTGCGAAGCGAAACATGCCCGAGTATTTTCATTAAAGCTTGAAAGTACTTTCCGGCTTGTCAGATTTCACGAGCGAAAAGCCAACTCGAAATTCGTCGAAACTCGCGGGAAACTCCGCTCTGAAACTCTCCTTCGCAGCGGATGACTGTCGTAGTGCCTTACCGACTGGCTATGTATTTCCAACAGTGCGTCGGCTCTTATTCGCGAGGTCCTTGCCGGATCCTTTCGGGCTCTAGTGCCCAGGCCTTCAACAACAGCCCCCTCCCCCTGCCCAGCCCCTCCCCCTTTCGGCTCGCGCGGCGGCGATCAGCGCGACCTAGCCGTGTCCGTCGCGTCGTCGGCACTCGGCGGGCGCTCGGGTAGGCAAGCCCGTCAGCCTCCGGTGCTCGACAGGCCCGCGTACCCGCCAGGCGCTCGCCTCACTCACACCCCCCTCTCTGCAGGATGCTCGCTGTCCGTGGAGGGCGGCTTCACCGGCCGCAGCACGGCGCTGCTGGTGGACACGCGGAGCCGGCCGCCCTCCTGGCTGATGCCGACCCGCATTAACCGCAGCAAGGTGCTGCTGCTGGACCGCGGCCAGACCTTCGTGGCGTCCTGCCCGGGCTCCAGGAACCAGGTGATCGGGCTGCTGCACCAGCACGGCGAGCTCGAGTGCGACGGCGGCGCCCTCCGCGCCGTGGCGTCCAGCATCCCGAAGGCCGTCAACAGCCGCGACCTGACGTGCAAGAAGCCCGCCCACGCCGAGCTCAGGCCGGTAAGCAAAGGAGGACGCCGACGACGGTGCGGCGCGGCGGTTTCGTGCGTATGTTCGAGTCACTCACCTCCTCACCTCCGTTGTCCATGCGCAGGGCAGCAAGTGCAGCGAGGGCGGGCGCTGGTTCAACGTGGGGTTCAACGTGTCCGGCGCGGGCTTCCTGCCGCTGTTCGGCGTGTGCCACAACGTGGACCTGGGCTCCACGTTGTACGCCGCCCACCGGCTGCACGGCGCCTCCATCGACGCCGCCCAGGACGAGTCCAAGAGGCCGGCGTTCACGCAGGGACTCAGCGACCTGTTCGTCGGCTACAGTCCTGACGACGCCTACAAGAAGGTACGATTGATGATCGTCTCACTTCATCCGCTAGCATTTCATTTAAAATAGTAACGAGATATTTTTTTTTGCGTTGCAGAGCCGGCAGCAGGCCACGCTGATGCAGCTTCTGGGCGTGAAGCGCGCCAAGGAGGTCCTGGACGTGTCCACCCTCGTCCGCGGCCACCTCAGCCCCGACGGGGACTTCCTGTGGGCACCCCACCAGTGGGCTACTTACTTCTACGCTAACGTCGCCCCCCAGTTCTCCTCGATCAATGGCGGCCACTGGAAGGTGGTCGAGAACCTTGCGAGGAAGTTGGCATCGCAGGTGAGCAGTAGTGGGGTTGGAGTTCAGCCGACGCACCTCCTCAGAATGGTCTGCAAACAACGTGAACTTTTGTTTTCTCCCGTATTCCAGATGCAGGCCGAGCTGATGGTCTACACGGGCACACACGGTGTGCTAACACTTACGAACAGTGACGGCAAGAAGGTGGCCATCTACTTGGAGCCCAACAAGCGCAAGATCCCGGTCCCGGAGCACATCTGGAAGGTCATCTACCACCCCGCCAACAAGAGCGGGATCGCCCTGGCCGTCGCCAACAACCCGACGCTGAGCGGGCGGGACCGGGGCGCGTCGCACCTCTGCGAGGACAAGTGCGCTGAGCACGGCTGGCCCAAGGACCTCCTCAAGGACGTCCGGAAGGGCCTGGTCGTCTGCTGCACCATTCAGCAGCTCAAGCAGGCCGGGGTGCGCCTACCCGCCAGCATCCGCGCCGAGAAGGTGCTGAGAGGGCCGACCCGATGAGAAGCCCCCGAGCGCCGTGATCCCCACCACGCCTTTGCGCCGCAGGTTCGAGTCGCGCCTTGGAGCTTTTACGTACGATCGCTATCACCTAGAGAAGTAAAGTGAATGCCTTGATGACTCGAACCACAAAATCACACGTTCATTGGAGCAAGAGATCTATCATCAATATTCTCTTTCAAATTGTTCCTTCAGGCAATTTTCAGCAACCCCTTCGCAAGTCCACTTTTTTACTTAAAATTTTTTGAATTCTTAATTGAACAAAAAGACACCAACATCTGAAGAATTCTTTCATTACGATGTGAGATGATATGTTGCTTACTGAGATAGTCACTGTGGTGTTAGCAGCCAGCTGTACAGATTGTACTGTCTGTTGCTTTTGATAACTTAATTTTTCTGACTGAATTCTGATCTTTTATGAGGAAAGCAACATTGCTTTTCTGTTATAAGTCCCAACTTTTAGCCCTCAAATTTATTAGGATGCACTGAATGCCAATCCAGCATTCTCAGAACTGAGATTAGCTATAAATTTGAGCAAGGTAGAGACATGGAAAATAACAAGCAATATCACCTATACAATTCCAATGTCACTGTGAGCAAACCTAGATGATCTGTTTTAAAGCCTGCAGTATTTCTTAGTTTGCTCTTCCATTAGGTTTAAAAAATGTTTTCAAAGCAAACACTGTGGTATGTTGCAAGTAGTTATTTATTTCATGAGTACAACAAAGTGAACAGAACTGTCATGAAATCAGACTCAAATTCATAAATTACTCTTGCTTGTATGACTTCTACACTGCTTCCTATTTGAAATTTTTGAACATAATAGTCAACAGGATTCAATGTGCTAATCAGCAAAAATGGATCCTCAAAATTGTCTTATGCCTAAAGGGCATCAACATCTGACCACATAAAATCAAACAAGAAAATAATTCCTGGTAACCAACTGATACAGCACAACATTTGTACTACTAATGTGATGTCATGACACCTTCTGATACCCCACAAAAATCTATTGCATGTACGTAGAAATCACATTCAGAACTTAGGAATGACATTTCTCCTCTATCATGCAGATATTTATTGTTGTTGTTTTTGTAATACATACAATAAATTTTAATGTTACATTGGGTGAAATTATTTAAAATAGGTGAATAGTATACTCTACAGTTTATCAAAGAATTGACAATCTTAACACAGTGGATACAAATTACCCAAGTCAAATTCATATTTAAAAGATAAGTTAACTTACGATCACAATAACATCACAATGTTGACATGTGATGAACATTCAACTCAACCCGAAGTTATTAACAGTGATACTTTCCAGCTGATTTGGAAATATATCTCCGAGTTTATATGAAAAATTGCACAGTTGAATGTCCTAGTATCCACCAACCAAATACTCATGTTCTCAAATGTTAAGCTTTAACATTTAGCATTAAATAGAATTGGCAAAATATTAATAAAATTAACAATGTTTTAATAATTTGTCAAAACAAAAGTAGAAAGAGACTTCAATGCATATATGATGATGTATGAAAGCTTTGCTTCGCAGTACAGTATACTGTACAAAAGTCATTAACTGATGCACATTTCATGAAACAGGATCGGTCAAAATGAATAGAATAGGGTCAGAGCAAATGGACAAACGGGCATGCAAAAGCAAAAGAAAAATGAATTCACATTGTTGCGGGGGAAATTAACCTAGTAAGCATCATAAGTTGCAGAAAGAATAAAAAGTTGATCTTTATGAGTGCCGATAGTTTGATATAATTAAGAACTGCAAGCCAAGCACAACCTGGCCGCACACCCAAATTGAGTACAGACAAAAACCAACAAAGATTGCAAAGATTGACAACCCACAGACAATACAAAAAGAAAACTTACTTTTCTCACACATGATAGAAGAAAACAAGAAAACACAAGTTCATACTGTGGAATCTTGAACATTCATGAAAATCCAAAATTTCTGAAAGAAAAAAAAATAGTCTTGTAGGTGAATCAAACATATCATCCGAAGTACAGTACCTGTGAAAAGATAACTTTTCTGACCCAGTGATAATTCAACATATGAAGTGAAAGTTAGGTTTGACTACTTTGAAAACACGGAGGTAGAACCATTATTTACGGTTATCACAGCAACTAATAAAATCAATGAGAAATTGTAAACACTTGCAAAATCTTAGAGAAGACCAAATAAACAAAACCAAACTACATTGACAACTTTGAAGTTAGATAAATTTTGAAATAGAAAAGGATACGGTAGCTTGAGAGTTCAAATTCAAATCTGAACTTTAAATCAGACCACTTAAAGCATAAAATTTACTTGATAGGAGAGAAAAATTCGCAAGTTTTAAACATTAAAAAGATAAGCTTTCATGGATACAACTCTAAAGAACAATCTTCAATAATGCTCAAAATATAAAATGGAAATCACAAATAAGGGCAGCGCCCCCAACTTGCCAAGCTTGTTATACATGGAAGACAAATTGAATGAAAATGAAAAGATAAAATCATCATGCTTATGTGTTTAAGGGTAGAATTATTTTATACAGTACATGTAGTGGACAAGATTTCTACCTCATTTGTAATGTAACACAATAACACTCAAAATGTAACAGGACAAGTGTCAATGTGACAACAAGTGATTCAAAGAAAGTTATAGGAATATGTAGTTTGAATGTTCACTTAGAGAAATTGAATGTATTCTAAAATTTGTCTTTTAAAATGGTTTGCAGAAAGCAAAACGATACATATTTAGGTGAGAAAGGACAGCTGAGTAAGGCGTGAATAATAATAAGAGCTATAATGACGCTACCCTAACATAAGAAGAAAAAAATACAAAGCACCAATAAAAAATTGATAAATTAGGAAAATGCAGTAGAGAATAACTGCCAACTAAACTTGATGATGAAATACTCCAAACTTACTTCATAAATAACAAAAACACATGAAAAACAAAACAACACAAAACAAAAAAGCACTTGCACCAAAATGGAATGTGCAACATTTACATTTGATTGCAATGGCCGGCTTGTTTGGACTGGTTAACAGCTAAAGGCAGATCAATATATTCAAGCAAAGTACGTCAATAGAAACTATTTAACACAAACTAAATGTCAGTTTATATTGGAGAGGAACACTGCCTTTGAGGCTACAGGGACAAGTTCGTTGCTTTACATAATTTTATCATGACTAAAAATTTCAATAAGAAATTCAAGTTTAAGTAAGATTACATCTGGGATATAGTACTATTCCACTCCTCATTTTACTTACAGTAAAAGTCCTGAAGACAAAAAGAAAGACACAAAAAGATGACACAAAGAATGGCAATAAATAATGGCAATTGATGTGGCCAAAAACACTGCATCACCTGTTTCCCCTGACATGAAAAGGATTTTGTGGAGTGACACACACACCAAAATTAAGAGAAGCCTGAAACAACAAATGTATGAACTACTCTGATGAAACATGTGAGCAAATATTCCAATAATTTATAAGCAAACAATCACACCAGACTTAGGTCTACCATACATAACACATCACAAAGTTTTCAAATCATTCTGAATTGTTTAAAAAGCAAGGTGAAGCGTATATAATTATTTGGAAACAATTCATGACACAAATTGCAAGAGCCTGCTTGCAGAGATAAATGAAGATGCTATGCTCTCTTGAAAACACATACTGTATTGCACATGAATCAACTAAGAAGTGCATCAAAATAAATGGAATACATGCTTCAGTAAAGAACCACTGTACCCAATGGTACTAGCTCATCAGGAAGACCAGTATTAGGCACAATTTATAATTTAAGGCAATTCCTACTAAAATAATCCCAGTAATCATTGAGTTATTCTCTACATAGAAGCACATAACCAATGACTTAAATTTGAGCAGGTTTGTTTTCCTTATCATGCTACCCTGAGATTTCTTATATAATTGATTTAACTAAAAAAACAAAAAACAAAATAGACCTCAAATATGAGTACCTTCACTTATAAAAATTTCAACATAATCAGCACCAATTGTTGCAGATTTAACACGGTAAAACCAAAAGGGAAACAAGAACACAAACACATACTAACTGAAAAATATGGAAAAGCTAAACATTTTAATAGATAACATAACAGCTAAGCCTCTACTTGACTTTAGGACAGGCACTTTACCCTAGCAGCCACCCTGCATCAAAAACTTAAAGAGGGTGTTATAAAAAAATTACAGTCCAGAGTCTGGGAGTTTTTAGGACTACAAATTCAGTTGACTGAAAGTGGCTCTTCTTACAGGAAGCCATTACTTCATAATCAACCTACACAATCTTGAGAATCAGCAAGATCGTTGTACATCTTAGCTCCCAATATCACAGTTCTAAAAGTTCATTTTCTTTTTTTTTTTTAACAAAATGTCAATTTTATCTACAACTGCAATTCTCTACGTCCAGCATGAGAATCATCAAATGAATCATATCATACCACATCATTTTCATGAAATTCAAGTTTATAAGAAGCCCTAATAGACCATTGTTTATAAATCAAACAAACTTCTGTAGATTAAAAGATTTCTAAAATGACACAAAAGATGAATGTTTACGATGCATATTGACACACACCTCTTCAAAAGCCACTTCATTGCAAATTTGATACCTGACAGGGTAATGAAATTGGGAATTGTTTTTGAAACAGTTAAACAACAAGGAGAATGAGAGTGCTAGTGTACAAAGACAAGCAATGACCAAATGAGACCACAAGCAAGAAGGTAACCAACGATCAAATCAGTAAATCATAAGTAGATGAGAGTTGAATACTGTTAAACAGTGTTTAAAGATACAAACTTTACTACAGCTGTGTTATTCATGCATGGAATACTCAAAAGAAAATTCACTTGTGTCATAACCATACAACTGCAGAGTTGAACGTTTAGGTAAACTATACGGGACAACAAGAAAAACAAAATTTCTCACTTCTTTCCTAAACCAAGAGGTAGATCTAAAAAATTTAGAACAGGAGGCAATCCACAAGTCAATAAATTAAAGCAGTAAAATAGAAAAGTATTGTTTTCACAAACATTTATACACAAGATTTTTCCTTCAGCATCAAATGCAGAACTTCATTGGTTTAGATATTGGGTCAAATTTCAGATGGATAAAAAATGCAAGCAGGTACTGAAAATTGCCCTACGATCTCAGCATGAAAATTTATAGAACGCCATAGCATTGAAATAGCATGATGGGATCAAGGCCAAGGCTATGAATTGAAAATAGCAAGCAAGAAAATTGACTTGATTTAATAGAACTACCACAGGGGTGTAATTCCCATGTTCATGAATCCAGGTGACTTGCGGCACTCCCAATATTTGTGATTATTTTCCCAAATTTCTTCGCCATTGCTGAGGGTTTTCCTCCTGAAGAAAAATGATAGATTTTCATTATAGGTCAAGGGACCTATATTGAGTAAACAGAAGTATGATGCACAAGATACTTACGTGAACCAGCGCGGCTCATGCTTTACACCTTCAAGCTCCATTGTTTTACGCCTCTCTCGTTGAGCTTGTTCTAGATCCATTTTGATTTGTTCAGCAGCATCCAGATTACCTTCCTCTAACATTCTGGAACAGTACAGTAAAGTCGATATGTAACTAAAATGAAATTTAATTTAAAGTCAAGCTGTAAAGTATCCTTGTTCTGTTCACTGTACCTCTGGTCTTTGCGGAAGCGAGTGTCAGTGCAAGGTAAATACTTTGCCATTTCTGGATCTAGTTCGTTCAGCTCAATGGCAAACCGTGTAAAACCGTAGTATCTTTCGTAATCATCTGGCATAGTACCTAGTAGAAAAAGAGGAGCAGGTCAAAATTGTAAGCCCAATAAAAAACAGATCAATTCAGAAATTATGTATGCAGTTTGCACTACCTCTCCTCCAAATGCATTTGGCAGCTGGTGCAACTCCACAATACAATGCCTCACTCCATTTACCAAACAGTTTACGAACTTCCTTCCCATTCTCATCATAAACTTGTCCATAGACTTCGTGCCTTTTTGCAGACCAATAACTTGCCTGAGGATACATAGAACAGTAGAAGTCATTATTATGGTTCAATTTAAGAACTAAAGTGCATGAAGAATAGATTATGTCTCAAAATCAGGGATAATAAGGAAGAACTTTATACCTTAGCAAAAGTGAGTTTACAGCTGATGCCTGAGTTACAAGTAATGCGTAGCTCTCCATACTGATCAACCCATCGTTGACCACTGAATAAATTGTGGACACAAGTTGTCACTTTATTCCATTGGTACACATCTCCAGTTCTTGGTAACTGAAGATTCACAACACCTGCAAATGTTAAAATACAATTAGGAAGGAGTTAACTAGGAAATAATGGTTACTACAAGATCAATTTTTATTTAGACATTTAAAAGTCCATACCTGTAGGCTGAAATTCCATTGACTTTCCCCAGAATTTGGTCTTGATTCTTGCATCTTGCCAGAAAATATAATTGCGAGATTCTGCGTAGCATACACTAATGGGTGGGTGATGACTTACCTAATGAAAAGAAAATCAGCGTTTAAAATGAAGGTGTGTAGGTTTTCCAAAGTACGGTATATGGAGCCATATCAATTAAATCTTACTTGTTCAGCAATAAAACGGAAGCCCTTATCCTCCCGAACACACTCATAAGTTTCTCCAAGCAATGGATTAAATGGTTTGGAGCCAGCTCTGAAGTATGAAGAGCCATAGCTTGACACAGTAAATGCAGCTATACACACCATACGCTCAAGAGGATCATTTATCTCAGCAGCTTTATCAAGAAGCTCACTGTACTCTAGTTCTTCACACAGCCTCTACAAAATAATATTTTTAAAAAATGATTAAATTTACAGCCAAATTAGGATGATAAAGTCAAGATTTAATTTATTTTACTGACCTGCAGCATATTTAATGGTTCATTTAGTGCAACTGGCATAGAAATTTGGGAAAGATCTTTGCCAATATTTTTACAAAGTAAATTCCATAAAGAGAGTCCTTCAGAATCAGGACGAGGGGCTGGCAACTTAGTTCGACGTCCAGTTAGACATAGAGACTCCCCTCCTCCAGCTGGTGGAGAAATCAAATAAACATGGGCAGTGATAAAAATAAAATTATAGAAGTGTCAGTCTAATCCATGCGACTCACCATTTTCAACAGCATTGAATTCTTCTGTTGCCATTTCACTGTTTTCACTTGATGCACTTCCCTCTTCACTTGTTAGACTTCCTGCTTCTGATGATGTATCACTTATGGCGCCTGGTTCACCATCTAGTTCATTCTCATTCTCACCCTCAGATCTTTGAACAATTCCACTTATGTCTCCCACTCTTTCCTCAGTTGGAGATGCAACACTATTTTCATGATGTTCCTCAGCATCAAAGAATTCTGAGGCACTAACACAAGATGAACTATATGACAACGATGCATGAATGGGCTTGGGAGGCTGGTTAAGTGATAACAGAAAAACAGTTAAGGTTTTAAGATTATAAATTTCTTGAACTTAACTTTTAAACACCTCATGTCAGTACTTACAGCAGAAACATCACTCAAATCAGCTGCTTCGTGAATCCGAGCTAGACGAGTACGTAAATCTTGATTTTGTTGCAGTGCTTGATTAAGTGATGCACGGAGACCAGGCAAGGCTGAGAGGCCTCCAACAGAGCTGGTATTAAGACCAACTCCACTTAATGTTGAGTTATCAAACTCCAATGCCACCTTCAAACGATCCCTTTCAGTACTCAGGGTAGAAAGTACATTGGACAGAATATTTTGAACTGTAACAAAAACAATGTGTAGAAGGATATTCACTTTAAGTTAAAGAACTCAATTGAGTTTCATAAAAATGAACTCACCATCTTTAGCTAAAATAACAAAATCTTCTCTTAAGTGATTGTCTGGGGTAAATGAAGAAAGGCGATTGTTGTCACAAGGCAATGAAGCAAGAGGCAGAAGGTGCTCAGCCCCAGGCAAGCTCTGTGGCCTTGTGGCTACATTGGCATTCAAAGAATTTGCCATTCCCTGTGTTGCAATTGTGAGCGATGAGTTGCTACTACTCAGTCGATTCTGTGCCATTAGGCCACCAGGTGAAGTTGACAGCCCAGAGAAGGAGCCAGTCTGTAACAGTTGTTCAGAATTATTACATAGGTAGTTAAGTCATCAACTTAAAGCTCAATTTCAATTTAAAAAAAATAAAATATATGTGCGAAAGTTGAAGGACTTACAGACAGGGGGGATGCTGACTCTGATTCAATATTACTTTTGCTAGGACTAAAACCAACAGCTGAAAGATCCATTGAACTACCCTTGGAGCTCTTCTTTTTACGGAGTCCAAATTTCTTGCGGTCTTTCTTAACATTAGGTGAAGATCCCTCAACAGGTATTGGCTATAGATAGGATTTAAAAAGAAATTTGAATAAATATAGTAAATCTGATAGTTATTAATTCTATGGGTAGTGATAGTTTACCTCAACATCTAAGGTAGGTATGGTTTCAATCTGTTCCAAAATTCTATTAAGCTGTGTGATTGTCTGACCAGCTTGAGACAATTCACGACTTAGTGATTCCAAAGTTGACTGAGCATCAACAACCCAGTTTGAAATCCTTCCAGAAGAGCCTGGAAGTAGGACATTGGATGGTGGAGAAGAGCATAACTTAACTCCCCGTGGTAAAGAGCCATCCCGAGCTTCTCTTTCTGGAGGGGTCAGTGGAATTTCTGTAAATAAATTTTCAAATGACAAAATTAGCGCCTAGTGATAAAAATACAGATAGCACAAAATCCAATAATCTTACTTGGTTGAGCTGGACTGCTATGTCCTGCAGCAAATGTGAGTGTCCCTTCTCTAGAGCTTGAGCCAAAGGTTAAGACATGCTGGCGATAAAGGCGGTGAACCTTAAGCTGATCTACCCACTTCACAAAGGTTTCATGAGTTTTTGCCTAAAACATCACAAGCAAATAAAAATTTATAATATTTAAAGTGCAGTAAAAGCAACATAAATTGTTTTATGAGGGATTCTTTTGTTTTTACCTTTAAGTGATAAATAAACTCCTCAGCATCAATGTCTAGTCTTCTACGCTTGCTTTTAGTGGAAATCACAGAAAGACCAATGTCAACAGACCCATGAAGCTTCCCTCTGGCCACAGCTACAGGACTTTTGGCATAAATTAAGATGCCTTTGTCTACTAGAAAATACCTCTATAAATTTAATACATGGTGTTAGTGCAATAATAGTATAACATGTATCAGTAAGGTAACAAATGCCATGGCATATTGTACATAATTTCTAAAAATATTGTTTTAAATAGACTAGAACATACCTTGTGCCAACCTTTCAATGGCCATTTACGTTTTTTGTGAAGGTATCCAGTGAACACTGGCGGTTTTCTGTCAAATCTTTGACCATCTTTTAGACCTTCTAGGATTTCCCACTCAGATCCTCTTCTTTGCCGAATTTTCTTTGCTTGAACTGGGAGAGAGAATATAAGATAGCAAGGTGTAAATACCTAGCATTGTGACCACCTAATCCCCTAGTAGACGCAGATAGTTATAGATTAACTTACCAACAGGCACACCTTTTGGAGAATGCTTATATGCAACTTCAGCATTGGAATCGGCCGAAAGGCTGTTGCTATCAACACTACCATCCTAATAAAAAGTAAAAATTTTACACTTCTGAAAATATATAGAAAGAAGGATCACAAATTGGAACACTACTTACTGAATCAGATGCAGTGCCAGCAACAGATTTCTTTTTGTTACGAAGTAAAGGACTTCTCTTGAGATAACTATGCCCATGGCTGTTGCCTACATTACTATTGGAATTGGGCACAGAACCGTCAGGTGTTAGACCAGACATAGTTGTACCGCTGGAGCCAGCTCCACTATTAGGAACTTCTAATCGGTGATTTAAGTTTCCTGGTTCTGTTGCTATATGCCGCAGGCCTGACGCCATTTTGCGGAAAGATAGCCAGCTGGGGAATTTCAGCCTGACCCGTTACCACTCTCAGAAAGTTTACTCAATTATCACTTCCATTAGAAGTGAGTAAGAAAGATTGGCTGTGACCTGGAAATATAAATATAGGTCTCACACAAAACATATAAGTGATTGCTAACATTATTTACTAGAGTTACAAATAAGGGAAAGTTACATTATTTTAGCAAGACCTTTCCTTACAGCAATGACTGTTTACACAAAATTATAAACACGCAGAATGCATGACAAGCAAAGATCAGACTTCACAAAAACAGCTCATGATACTAACTGAATGGGCACGGACTACTTGTATGAAATTAGAACCCGTTGATGACAAAGTTGAAAACTACTTTGCATTGAACAAGATTTTGATCTTTGCAGAACGTCGTTCGTGCGAACCTAACCTCTCATAGAAATGACGAAAATCCACTCTACTTCAAGAGAGTTAATACAACTGAGTCATAACTGATGTTTGGTAGTAGTTCGTCCCCTATAAAACTCACCTTGTCTCTCGAGGACTGGAAACTCGGTCGTAAAAATCCATGTCATGTCACAGATGAGAAGTTGGCTGAGGTCAAGGCGATATTCCTTGACAATAACAAGCACTTGGGGAGCACAGGCACAGATTTCAGTTTGTCCCGGACCTGCGCGAGAGTCACTTTCCGTTCGACATGACGCCCACCAGCTGGAATTAGGCCCGACACATTGTCAGCTGCGACCTAGGCGTTCATTTCAGGCCAGACGGAATCTTCTGCTGGACGCGCCACAACATTCGCTCATTCACTCCGCTCCGTGCTGCTCGCGCCCCGCCAGCGCTCTCGCTCTCTAGCAGGAGTGGGCCCGCCAGTCCAGGGGGCGCAACGTAGCCGAGTGGAAGTCCCACTCCGCGGCCAGGTCGCGGGGCCGACCGAGGCGCAGGGCGACTTTGCACAGCACGCCAGGCGCCCACGTCGAGGAGGTCCGCGTCCAGGACGGGGTGGCGTCCTGACCCGCACGCTCCGGCGCTCGGCAGCAGATGGTCGACCCTGAGACGGCGAGGAGGACGGCGTCGGGAGGTTGGCAACGCAGTACAGTGCGTTCGCGGACGGGCGGGGAAAGGGGGGAGGGAGGGAGACCACCAGCAGCACTAGCATGGCGACTGCACTGCGGCGAGGGGTGGCGGGGGCTCCGGAGGAAAGGGGGACGGTGAAGGGGGCTGGCTGTTGGCCCGGGGGGCCCAGGCCCGAGGGCGCCCCGGCGCTCCCTCTGCTTCCTCCCTCCAACTCTGCATACAGACGGAATTGTTTTGCAGTTAGTTGTTTGTGTTCCCAAAGGCTCGCCCTATGGTATGGGCGCCATGGGGCCGCCGCGGCCGGCGCGGGCGCGACCGGATGGGCCTCAATCGAAACGCGAAAGGGCCTTAAATGCATCAAAGGGGGGCTGAGGAGAGGCCCGGGGGAGGGGGAATTAGATGCAACCCGTCCGCTATTCCATCCGCCGTCCCGCCAATTCCGTCAATCTCGCGACGTCGAACTGACGTCAGTCGGACGACCGCGCGGCGTTGTGTGTCAGTAGAGGAAGGGGCCCCTGCTGGCCAGTAGTTGTCGTCCCAACAGAGCCTCACCCACCAGCACCCCGCGTATGGATGAGGATGTGTGCGGGGCGTGGCGCGGGGCAGGGCGTGGCGCGGGGCGAGGCGGAGGCTCGCGGCTCGCCACCTCGCGCTTCATGCCGCAGCGGTCTTCCCTCCTGGGCACCACCCCGCCACGCCACGCTGCCACGACAACCCTACTACGCCTCTCCACGTCACGTCCCTCAGGCCAGGCGGGCCGTGGGGGTCGGGTTGCTGTCGGTCCTGTCCGCTGTGAAAGGGTCTCGGGTTGGGGTCGGGGTCGGGGTTGGGGGTCGCGGCCCGCGACGAGTGGAGTGTGGAGCGCCACTCGCGTTGGGCGGGGCCCAGCAGCTGCTATGGTTCTTGATAGCCCTACGTATCAGCCCAAAGCGACCAAAAAGTCGTAAAGCGTCTGCGGGCGCGATAATGAGCAGAAGAAAGTCCACCCATGGTCCGCGGCCACCACGGGTACCACCACCGGTACCGCCGGTGGTGCCCCTCCTCTCAATAATCCCTCTATGCTGCAGACTTCGATCTCTTATATCGCGTTACCAAGCGCGTCTCTGAATAAAGAGAAGTCCCGCGTCGATCCAATCCGGAAGCACGGAGACGACAAAATAACAAATAAAAACAACAGCAAAGCCGGAGAAGCACCAGAAGAACTTTGTGATGGATAACGTCGCGAAAAAAGCGGTGTTTCTTTTTTCCCTCGGCGCGCTTGCTCTCCTCGCGGCTGCAGTCATGTGTTATCGCCGGGCCCGGGCGCTCATGCTGCTGGTGCGCCGCCGGGCCGACCGCAGCTACCGCGCACGCCATGAGGCCGGCGACGTACAGTAGGCGAAGCTCGACCATTCAGCGCGGAAACAGTCGGCGAATGTGTAATTGAAAGAAGAAACAACGCAAAAAAGAAAATATGTGACGAGAATAAAGAGAGAGAGAGAGAAGCCTGGAGGGAAGGCATGGAAGGCCGCCGCGCTGCGAGTTTGGCATCAGCAGCAACATGCGGGACCATAACAGCCAAGTCGCACAGTGGGCTGCCAGAGCCGCCAGCCCGGGGGGCCGCGCTGCCGCGCAGTCGGCTCAGCTCAAGTCGAACACGACCAGCTCGGCGGCGGAGGGCGGAGGAGACGCGAGCGTGCCACAGCCCAGCGGCCCCAAGCGCGTGCCGCGGGCGGATGGCGGTGGTTTGAGTTTGGATGCCGCCGCGGATAGCCAGCCGGGCCGGGCCAGGCGTGCTGGCGCTGCGCTGACGCGGCCCCATCCGCACGCCACGGCCGGTAGGGCGCATCGCGGCGGGCACGCCACGCTGATAGCTCACGAGCAGCCGTCTCTCGTCTCCGCCGTCTCGCTGTCTCCGTCGCCCTCGCTCGCCTCACCGCTATCACTTCCTCTCGCTCTCTCTCTCTCCCACTTTTACTAATACATTTTCCTATAAGGTCGTGCATCGATGGGACTTCCCCTCTCAGGCCCGGACGCTCTCGCCCGCCGCACACGGTCGGGCGCACGCGCGCCTGGCGGGCCTTTCGGTGGAGGGACTCCACTCTTTCTCCAGTGTTGGTTCTCTGGGGTCGATACTATGCACGTCGGACTCGTCGATGGGCGACAAACTGATAGATCTGGTGGGAACCGCTTTCGGTGGGCGCGCGGCGGTGGGGGGCCGGGGACAGCCCAGCCGTGGCCGCCGTACTCAAGGAGTGCTCGCCGTGAATAAACCTGGCGAGCAGGGCGAGGGGCTGGGGCCGGGGCTATGGGGCCGGGGCTGGCCGCTATGGCTATGGTCCGCCAAACGATCGCCGCGCCCCGCCGCGCCACGCCGCGCAGCCGT